CTCATTACGTACAATATTGATTAATTTCGTCTTCTTGAACATGAAATATAATGATTAAAGTTCGTCCTTCCATTTTTTTTTTTTTCTTCTAAAAATGGTTTTCTTTTTATAGATTTCATATTTCTATTTCCAGTCATTCTTCATTTCGCTTAATCATTTTTATTTATTCGGGAAATGTCTCCTAATTCAAGTGTTGTATTTTTATAAATGATTCTATTTTTATAAATAGAAAGAAATAAAAACAGAAATAGAAAATACCTGTTAGTTTCAAAAAAGGAAATAGAACTATAACAAATCATTGTTAAATTTTTATAAATTTTATTTTATAATGAAAGACTTTATGATTCAATTGGATCTTAATAAAACTATGGATTTTCTTTAGTGGTAATGAAGTAAAATTAGGAAAGACACAAATGTGGCAATAGAATTGTCATGAGGTATTGCTTTTTTATTCTTCAAAAAGAATAATAAACTCAAATGAACTTCCAAAGATATTATTTGTTTGAAATATCAATATCAATTCACTAAACCATAAAAAATGAAAATAAAAAATAATTAATTGGTTTGTTTTTCTAAAAACATAAAAATTAAGAAGGTTAATGAAATAAAAGTTATTTCTTAATTAATAAAGAAATTGAAAATATGTATTAAGAAAGACTTTAAAACAAATGTTGTTTATTTGAAAAGTGGTGAAGATGGTGAATAACGAGGTATTAGAAATATACAAGAAAACCAAAAAAAAAATAAATAAAAAGATGAAAAATAAAAAATAAAAAAGATGAAAAAAATAAAAAAAAAGTTGAAAAAAAAAGTTAAGACAAAACACCCATTTCATTTTTTTTAAATAGTTATTTTTGATATTTAAGAAAATTCAAGATGAAAAATGATGAAAGGAATATTTTGTAGTTCATAGAACTCAACAATTCTCACAGTTATTAAAAGATACAATCTTATCTAATTACTTATTTGAGGATATTAATAACTTAGAAAAAGAAAATGAAATTTTAGGGGTATTTGTTAGTAAGAAAAAGAAAATACAAAAATAGTGTTTAAATAATTTTAATCTAATAATTCAATTCTGAAATGACAAAAGAAGTTTGGATAATCATTTTTTACAATTCTGTCACGATGGCTTATTGTTTATTGTATAGGTCAGTGCTGTGTGTGATGTTTTTTGTGAAGGATACAAAAAATGGAAACAAGAACTTGTTGTTTATGATATTAATGAACAAATGCTTGTTATTTATACTAATGAAAAGAGACTAAGACCAAGTTTTAGAATGTCATTAAATGATGGAATTTTTGTTAAATTGTTGAACGGAAGAACTATTGAAGATAAAAAGATTGAATATGGATTTGTTCTTATTGACAAAAGAGATCATTCATTTGTTCGAATTGTTTTTAATAATTCAAAAACACATGCACAATTTTATATTCCAATTGCAAGAGAATGTGAATGCTTTGGTTGTTTTGGTATTCCATTAGATATTGCTGTTCAACGAGGAGAATGGAAAGTTCCATTACCAATATATAGGGCTATTCAGTACTTACTTGAAGGGGATAATCTTCAAACTGATGGACTATTTAGAGTGAGTGCTGCAGGAAGTTTATTAAGTCAAACAAGAAATAGATTGGATAAAGGAAAAGATATTGATCCATCTGAATTTTGTGATGCAAATGTTGCAGCTGGTATTATTAAATTGTATTTACGATCATTACCAGATTCATTAATTCCTATAGAATTTTCTGATAAATTTATGAATATTGTTCGTTTAGAAGATCCTCAACAACAAATAGAACAAATAAAAGAATTTATCAAAACACTTCCAGAACCAAATTTGTTTGTTTTTAAATATTTATTCATGTTTTTAACAAAAGTTATGGCGGAATCCAAAATTAATAAGATGGTTGCAAGTAATATTGCTATTGTTTTTTCACCAAATTTATTATTCTATGAAGATAGTCAAGATGGATTAATGTTATCAAAAAATGTTAATGATTTAATTGCTAAAATAGTAGAACATTATAATGAAATTTGTGGAACAATGGAAGAATTTCCAGGAGATTTTCCTAAATTTAATCCTCAAAAAGAACAAGTAGATCATGAAGACTTTATTATTAAAAAGAAAAATTTGATTTTAAGAAAGTCTGTTCTTTTTACTGATATTGGAAAAAAAGTTGGATTAAAGAAAGAAACTGCTGAAGAGAAAAAAGCCAAAGAAGAAGAAATAGAAAAAGAAAAAACAAAAGAAGAAATGGAAAAGAAAGAACGAGAAAGATTAACAAAGTCAAGTAATAATTTAAATGTACCTGAATCATCTTCATCAAATGCCAGTCTTGAAAAAGATGATAAAAGTGATGACTCTTCTAAATCTATTCAAACTCCTCGTGGTGGATTATTTGATTCTATTGTGAATTTTCCTAAAAACCATTTAAGACCAACTCCTAAAGAAGATAAAGAAGAAAGAAAACAAGGTAAAGAAGGTAAAAAAGAAGTATTAATGAAAAGAAAATCAATCAAACAAAAAAGTGATCCAATGGAAATATTAAATATGAGAGTTGGAATTATTGAAAGTCAAATCCAAGCTATCTTCCAAATGATGATTGAAATGAATAAAACAATTGATGCTATTGCTATTAAAAATGGTATTACACCAATTCATGAACAAGTTGAAAAAGTTCCACAACCATTAGACTCATTTATTTCTTCAGAGTCATGTATCTCTGATCATTCATCATGTGTTTCTGATAGTAAAAGTCATAACTCTTCAAAAATATCAGAAATGTCAATTGATGTTGTTGCTTCAGAACCAGTCACACCTAGTATAAGCACTCCTCGAGTAGTTGAAAATCAGTCGTGTAAAGAGTCTTCAGCCGAAGAAAAAATTCCAAAAAGAAAAGTAACAAAACAAGATGAGTCAAAGAAAAAACGTCTGTCAAGAGTATTTGGTTCAAAGTAATATCCTTTTTATTAAATTTAAAAGAAAACCAAAAGAAAATATGAGATGAAATTCATTTTAATCAAATTTAACTTTACCTTTTGGTCGTTGATATTTCTTTTCATTTACTACCTCAAATTCTTCAGGAGTATATCCTTTTTCAACATCTTTGGTTGACTCTTTTAATGCTTCATCAACAATTTGTTTTTGATTATCATCAAGTTTATTTCCAAGTGAAACAATAACATCTTTTTGAACACTAAGTCGTTTTAATGATTTCTTAAATTTCTTTGCTTCACATTTTTTCTTAACAAGGTCAGGAGTTATTTGCTTATTATTTTTCATAGATTCAATTAGTTCCTGATCAGTAACATATAGTCCTTTTTCTTTTAATTGTTGTTTAACAAATTTTCTAAATGTTTCAGCAGAATTAACATCTTGTTCAACATAATTACGTAATGCTTGTGGAATAGTTAATAAACCAATTAATAAACAAAAACTAAAGAATTTAACTGGAATAATAGTTAATATAGTTACTATTAATATTCCAGTAAATAACATACAATAAAATATCATAACTTTTGGTACACCATTAGATAAAATACCTATCTTTTCATAAACCATTTCTCTAAAATGTTTAATTGGTTCAAGAACACTTTTTTTAAAACGAGTGTATTGAACATGTTTTACTTTTCCTTTCCATGGAAGCTTTTTTGACTCAACAACAATATCCAAATGAAGAACAATAAGAAAGAGAGAGACATAAACCAAACACACTGATAATGAATTTAAAAAATCAACTAAACTACAAATAAATAAAAAAATTGCAAAAGATATTCCTGCAACAGTAAAATAAGCTGTTGATCCATTGTCTCCACTAAAACAATTATATATATACGCTATATCCATTTTATGTCCTTTCCACCAACTAACATTTCCTTGAAGAATATCTGAATAAGACATTTTCTTTTTATTATAAGTTTCTTTTTTTTTAATTTTTAATTTTATTAATTTAATATTTTTTCATCTTTTTTTTAAATAAACATTGTTAAAAATATTGTTTTTGTTAAAATCATTATTATATTTTCATTTTATTTTAAATAGTGTTTTTAAGGATAATATCAAAAAAATTATAAAAATGTTTCTCTTCTAATTTATTTTAATTTTTTAATTCATTTCTAAATGACTTTGAATTTACTTCAATAAAGTGGTTTAGTTCCTATTCTTTTCTATTTCTTTTATGATAAATAATTCAACTCATCAACAACTCATAAAATAGTGTAGGTTCATTCTCTTACAAGAAAATTATTAAACAATTCTTTTTAAATAAAAACAATTTTTAAAAGAATAAATTAGAATGGTATTTTTATTATTTACGAATAAAATTTAGATAATAAATGAAAATCCAATAAATTAAAATGAACAAATAACAATAGAATTACACAGATTTAAATTAAAAGAAATTACATTTAATCTAAATTTGATAATGCTACACATAACCTACTGAGAATATAACTCATTAAAAAGAGAATAAAAAATTTACTAATTGTCAAAATTAATAAACTGAGTTTAAATAATTTTCGAGTATTTAAGTTGAAGAATGAAGTTATAGTAAAACATATTTATTATATCAAAAAATTTGATATGAGTTTATTTATTATTTAAAATAATAAACATTGCATTTATTTTAGTTTAAGTTTTTAACAATAATAAACCGGAATAATATTTATTAAATTATTAAATTTGAAGAAATTAATTGAAAGAAATTGAATGTGAAATATCTCCAATTAATTCTTTTGAATTGAATAATAAATCTTTGATTTTTTGAATTTGAGATGATGGAAAATTTTGAATACATTTAGTTGTATCAGCATTTACTTCAATACCATTAGAAGTTGAAGTAAATGAAGTAATTAAAGTACCCAGACAATTCCAAATTAAAGAAACGTCATTTTCACAACAATTTCTTTTAAGATAAGATAAATACCATTCATTTTGTTTTTTCCAAAGAATTATTGCATATTGACCATTTGAATCAAATCTCCCAACAAAATCAATCACTCCAAAAATACCAACTTTGTTTGTTAAACTTCTTCCAAATTCAAAATGAAAATCAAAAGGTAATGATGGCATTCTTGTTCTTCTTGGTTTTCTTCTTTCATTTAATCCTTTTAGATTAATAGATGTATTTTGAAATGAAGGAATTAAATAAACTCTAATACCAAAATTTCCAGTGAGAAGTAATTCAAATTTTTCTTTAGTAAGAATTATATCATATGGAATAACTTTATAATCAAATAATGAACTAGAATGTGGTAGTCTATATATAAATGCTGATAATGATTCAATTGGTTTTATTTTATAAAGTCCTAAAAATAATGAGATTAACGTTGAAGTACCAAATTGATCCATTAAAACATTTTTATAACTTGAAATTAATAATGAAGGTGTTGATTCAATTTCATTAAGATCAAATGATGGTAAAATTAATGTTAATGAAATACCACCAAGATTACTTAAATATTGAATAAAAGAAGGAGAATTTTTATTTACACCTTTATTTTGAATTTGAATTGATAATGAAATAGGATTAATTTTAAGATAATCTACAATTAATTGCATTGGATTAGATACTTTATATCGTTTTGATAATCTAAAATCATCTTTTAATTGAATTAATTTAGAAAGTAATAAAGTATCTGTTTGTATTTTTAATGGTTGAATATTAAATGTTAAGAATTTAATATATGTTAAACTTGTTTGAAAAGAAGGAACAAACGATATACCAAAATGAACCATTCTTTGAGTCTCTTCTTCTATCCATTCTGATTTATCATAATTCATTGAAACAATACTTATTGGTCCAACATTATCTTCCCACATTGAATCAATTTGAAAATAATCACAACAAACTTCTAATGCTATTTCTTCATTTATTCCTCCAATACATTTAAATCCAAAAATACTTCCAAACAGTATTTCTTTAGCAAATTTATCAAAAACACTAATTCCAACAGTTAAAACTTTTAATTCCATTGTTTTAAAACTATTTTCTTCCACTTCTTCTTGATATTGAATTTTCATAACAACTCCTTTTTCAAGTTTAAATGAAACAATACAATTATTATCATTAATTTTTATTTTTGTTGTATTAATTTTAAAAGGTGAAACTTCTGTTCCATTAATAATGAATGTTTTTTCTTTATTTAAGTCTTCCCAGGCAATTGGACATCCTTTCATTGATGGAATATGAAAAATATATTTACACATTTTTTGTTTAACATCTAAATCAATATTTAATTCATTTTCTATTCTCAATGTTGGAGATGAACATCCAGATAAAGTACATACAAATACATCATTTGTTCTTTTAATTGATACATGATATATTCCATCAAAAAATAAATCACTTGACATTGACTGATCTAAATTTAATAATCTTTTAATACCATTCCGTTCAAGTAATATTTGTTTTGTAAGTAATGGAATCATTGATTTAGGATATATCACTCCTTCTTGTTGGTGTGTTTTAAAGTTAAATGAATAATTTGTTTCATTATGGAAAACAAATTTATGTTGTAATGAAACAAAAATCATGTGTTCACTTGGTTTTGGTTGGTAACAATGTTGAGATGAAGTAATAATATATTGTTGTGTTTTACATGAAGCAATAATATTATAATTTAAACCAACAGAAACATTAAATGCATAACAATCACTTTTATCTTCTATTACAAATGTTGTACTTTCAGTAACAACAGAAGTACTAGACGGATATGCCTTAAAATCATTCATAATTTTCAATTCATTCCACATAATTGGAATAATTGAATTATTAATCACATAAACAGGAATCCATATTTCAAGTGTTGTTATTCCAACATTTGTTGTAAGTTTTCCTCTTATAAATTCATTAATTTGAAATGGTCGATCATTTGAAGGTAATTTAAAACAATACCTCTCTTGTGAAGGAAGATAATATCCACTTAATGCCTTTTCTAGTCTTAAACTTATTTCTGTCGGAATATCAGTTATTGTCTCTGAATGAAAAGGTTCAACAATAAGTTGATTGGATTTTGAATTTGACTTGAAGTGATAGTTAGTTTTATACGGTAATGATGAAATGATTTGAAATCTATTATATAAATGAATTTCATAAAAACTGATAGTATCAATTGATGATGTATTAAATATTAATGATATTGAATGATTGGATAATGATACAACCTCACTCTTTAATATCCCATCATTATGTTGTTCATTTACATCTGGCATTGGAATAGAAGAACCATTAGATAACATAAGATGAATAGGAATTGTAGTAATTATTGGATGAAATGAATATTCTTTAAATGGAGATAAAGTAATGTTATATGGTTTTGGATTATGAAAACTTTTAAAAGTAAGTGAAAATTGTTCATTAATATGGTTTATAAGAAGAATACCACTTGTTAATGTCAAACAATTATTTTTATATAACACAATTAATTTCCCACTAAATTTTCCATTTCTTAAAAGATTATATTGACTTGTTTTAAGATGAATTTGAATAGGTTCAAATCCATTAATATGAATAATAAATAAATCATGAAATGAAATTAACATTTCTGTTAATTCATTAATTGTATATTCTTTTGTTGATGTTTTAACAACAATTTTAAATGGAGTTGTATTTTTAAATTGAATCATTTTAAAATCCGAAAAAGAAATAGAGTCATTAGCTGGTTTCTTTTGAAGTGAATAACAAAAATCATTAATGTCTTTCATAAAACTTGGAAAAACATTTAATGCAACTTCTTTACAAAAGATTTGAGGAATATTCCTTTGTGTTGATTTAATAGTAAAATTTGTTGGTTCTAAAACAAAGAACCATTCATCTAAGTCATACACAAAACTAGTAACTTGAATATACCCATCACCATCCCATTTAAAAGAAGTATCTTCATTCATAACTCTTCTAATAAACATTTCTTCAAATGATAATTTACATATTGGATATGACCACCATTTATTAGATTCAT